CCGCGGCTACATTGGTTTAATTTTGAAAATGTAAATCTTATTAGCTTATATAAGATAATCGGATGAAATTGTACCAATTATTTTTTAGATCTTGTCAACATACCGTAAAAACTGTCGTAGTTATAAAAGTAAAATAAAAAACAAGTAAACTTGATAAATAAATAAAAACGTCTTTTAAAGCGTTCTTCAATAGTAAATTATAAACTATTTAATAGTAAAACAATAATTATTATATATTTATTTTTGATCGAAAAATTAAATCTATAAAATTAGTTTCTATTTGATTTATAATATTTTTGATTTATAATATATAATATATTTTTTTAAAAACGTTATTTAAAGTTATTTGTATTATGCTTTTTATCAATTGCATTTGCATTAAAAAAAATAAATATTAAAAATATTAAAAAAATAAACATTGTAAAAGTTTGAAAATAACATTATTTATTAAATTATTTATTACAATTAATAAAACAATAATAGTTGGGGTTGTCAGACGTCCAGCAAAAAGAGGACATGTCTTCCTTTTTTATCCTTTGTCCTCTGTCGGGCAGGCGAAACTGAAAACATTTAAAATGTATGGCTTTTTTTATTATTTTAAATTTTTTTATTGTTTCATATGCTTTTTTTCTTTTACATATATTTCCTTATTTAAACTATTCTTTTAGCCTCATTTGTTTTCTCATTTAAACTATCATAGCTATTCTTAAAACTGTAAAACTTTTAATAAATATATAAGTTTCTTTTGATGTTCTATTTTTTAATTAAAGCATCAGGTTCTACTTAAACTCTGCGCGTTTCGTTTTTCCAATTGTTGTTTTTTAGAACGGCAAAGGAATTAAAAAACTCAAAAAAAATATTTTGTCTATGTCAGTTTTTTCTCATGCAAGAACTGAGTTGCGACTTTTTTATAAAAACGATTTCAATTTCTACAAAGAGAAAATAAAAGTTCTCAAGTACTATGAAAACAAAGTATTCCTGCTTTGCTGAAGGGCACAACGAGAATGAGGCAAAGTGTACAATTTATGATAGTTACTTGTCCGTCGCTACAGATATAGAGCGCCATTTTAACAGTGAGAAAAATAAAAACTTAATCAAAGTGTCAGCGTCATCAAATAAGTTGACGTCCTTTTTTTAATCTAAAAACTCAATGATGTTGCACAGCTAATTTGCACAAACTATTTGAAGATTCGGAAATTGCAAAACGTATGTTCAAAAACAAAAACTGAGGCAATCATAAACCTGGTAACAGGCCCCCTCACTGTTGATCAGCTGGTGAAATCAGTAGATAGCATTTCATGTTTTGGTCTTTCTACAGATGCTAGTAATCACGGTTCACAAAAAATATTTCTGATCCTTATTCAATACTTTGACTGAAAGGCAGGTGGTATTCAATTTAAAGTTTTCACGTTAGATAACACACCAAATGAAACCTCTAAAACTATATCACAATAAATTTTGAAAAGTCTCCAATCTTATAAATTTTCATCTAAGTGTGTTGCTTTTGCTGGAGACAATGCTAATGTAAATTTTAGAGGCATTAATAGAAAAGTATGAAAAAGTTTATTCTCGTACTTAAAGGAAGCTTTAAAAAACCGTTAGTAAGTGTTGGATGTTGTTTCCATGTTTTGCACAACTGCATTTAACATAGAGCAGATTTAATGAAGAATAATGTTAAAACTTAAAAATATAAAAAATAATGTTGTCTTAAAATTATTTAATTGTTTTTGTATTTATGGTTTATTATTCTTTGTGACAGTTTATTATTCTTTATTTATGTACACAATTAGAACAGAAGCTTTAAAAGATTTATGCAATTGTAGTGGCATTAGTCATCATCAACAAAACTATCACTCTAAAAGTAAATGTTTAAGTTTGTTTCGAGGTATTGAAAGGTTGCTGAGGTTATTTGATATTTTGAAAATATACTTCCTTACTGTAGATGAACCATTTGTTACGATAAAAAGTATTTTTTTAGAATAAATTTTCAGAAGCTTATCTTTAGCTTTTACATTCCTTGATGTCTCGCTTTCAAGTAAAGCAGTTGAAAAGAAAAGAAATATCAGTTTTAGAAGTTATGAGTCTTCTTCACTCTACCTTGGAAGTTTTAAAAGACCGGGTAAATGAAAAATTCCTATCGCCTGTAGGCAAAGGTTTATTAAAAAAGCTTGAAAAAAGTGATAGAGATGAATATATTTGCTTTATCATAAAGCAAATATATTGCCATAAAGTTTATGGCAGAAGTTAAGCTAGTGTATGAAGCATGCATTCTTTATTTTTATATTTTTATTTTTATTATTTTTATTTTGTTATTTTTTGTTATCTTTTTGGTATTTTTTACAACATCAATAAATTTACACATCGTTATGTTGCAACTACGTGACATAATATAATGCAATGTAAAAATATAACATAATAATACCACGTATAACGTAACATAATAAAAAATGGTTTAACAAGTTTAACTAAGTATAGCGTAAATTTATAATGTTTCTTATCATAAAAACAACCAGTGTTTTTTAAAAATAAAAGAAAAAAAATAAGAAGAAAAAAAAAGACAAGAACTTTTTTTGTTACTTCAGATATATACATGTTGTTGTAAAGAAAAACTCGTAGAAATCTATAAAAACTTTTCATTGAGTACATCTTGAAATGGTTAAATAAAGTCTATTTCATTTTTATATATAGTCAAAGTGGTTAAACAATATACAGTCAGTGATTTAGAAAAGTAGTTTTTGATGATTTTCAGTACTTTTGTAATTTTTTGATGATTTTCAGTACTTTTGTTAAATGTATTTAAATAAAGTAAAAGGCATCACATTTGATGACCTTGAAAGAAAAAAGGTATCATTTTGGATGATGTAAAATTATTTTGACCAATACTGTAATCTTAAATAATTTTTGTAAAGTGAAACAAGCATTTTTTTAAAATTTCCTTGCATGAACAGTTTTTTTTAAAACTTGTATAAATGCGAGTTGCTTTTCAGAGATGCTTAAAATATATGAAGCATTCTTTTGTATACCAGGACACAACGTAAATGTAAAAAGATTTTTATCGTTTATTAATGCTCCAAAGACAAAGAAAAGGAACAGACTTTTAGTTGACTCTCTAAAGGGCATCGTTCTCACATATTATAATTTAAAGAATCTTACCTTTAAACAGTTTTATGAATATATGGTTGCAAACGAATATCTTTTAAAAAAGTTGACTCCTCCGAAAAATATGTTATTTAACAAGCATTTTATTATAAATAATTTAATATATAACACTGTACTTTAATATATTATAACATGTTGCATTCTTTTTTTTTAATTAAAAAATATTTATTGCTATTATAATTTAGAGAAAATTACCCGAGTTTGCAACAACTTGGTTAAATGTGTAGCCTGCAAAAATAATGGAATAAAAATAGCCCTAATAATAATGGAACAAAAAAGCCAAATAAAGCTCATTCATTAATAAATTTTAAGTTTCATAGTATTTTCTCTAAGCGTTCAAAAAGTATGACCATATAAAAATAGAAACCCCCTCAAATTGAGGTGAGTGTAAACTTTATATGGTAATAATTTTTGAACACTGAGAGATAATACTCTAAAACGAAAAGTTTATCGGTAAATATAAGTCTAGTTGATAACAGTATAAAAAATATTTTATCAATTTGTTGCCCCTCACGTTTGGAGGGAGGGGGGGGGGTTAAGTTAAAAGTCTTTTTTTTTGTTTCCAGCCTCTAATCATCGCAATGTTTTGGAAAGCATCATTATTTGACATAAACATAAACGTACAAATGTTTGGAGTTTGCTCCATGTCTAAAAGTTAATTATCACAATCACCAAAAAAATCCATGATCCGTCTCAAGATCTGAAAGTTTCACAAAGTTACGTATGTATAAATTTTTGTGTCAACTAAACAGAATAAGCAGTGCAAAACAAAATAATTATTAAACAATAATTCACAATAAAAACTTCAGCAATAATTTATTTTGGTTATTTCAATTTTCGTCATTGATTAGCTTCGCTAATTCGTGTTACGTTTTATGTAGTGACCATTACTTATTTTTTAACTTTTCCCAGCGGACATTTGTTTTTAAAAGTTACGTTCTAAATGTATTTTAAATGTCTTTTAAACGTCTTCTAAAAATTCTCACGTAAAGAACGTTTAAAAGACGTTTAAAAAATGTTTAGAAGACATTACAAAGTAAATTTTTGAAAAAAATGTCCGTAGGGTTATATCAGTGGTCTCATTGTGTCTTTTTTTTCAAAAGTGCTTTAAAATGACTTTGTATACCAATAAGTACTTGCAAAAGTAAACATGAACAATTACCCAGTCAAACTAACTTAATAATTAGCTTGAGGTGCTGCTTTCATTTATCTGAGAAATTATATAAGAATCAATTATTTTTATGTCCTTTAATCATATCAACAGTTTAAGAACCAACGACACCTGGGGAACCAGGGGATACTAGCCCCTCCTTTTTCCTTACTTTTGTTTTTGTCAGAACTTTTTTTTTTACATAAACTTCTAAATATAGAGGATTATTTTTAAAAATTGACGGTTGTGACCCTCTTCTTCAAAACCCTGATCGTCGGGCCTGAGTTTTTTGGGGGCAATTTTTACCTCTACCCTTCCACTTGTCAACAACTTATTAAGTTTCCACAGACTTCCACAATAAAATTACTTCATCATCATTGTTATTTTTTTTTTCAAGTGATTATGTTTACTAAATAAATTATCATTGTTAATGTCAAATTTTACTTCTTCTTCTCCCTCCCTTTTGTCAACAACTGCAAATGCTAAGCAAAATAGTCTAATAGTTACAAATCAAGTATCACATTTGATGAAAAGATATTGTGAAAAAATTTTTAGTTTTTTAAGTATTTATAGTTTTTGTAAAAAAAAAAAAAAGTAAAGTATGTTTTCAATTTCATATTTTATAAACTTTAGCTAAATATATTGAAATGTGCAAGATTACCGTTTATTTACCAGAATACCGGTGAATTACCTTTCTTGATGTGCTTAAATCGTTTTGTAAACGTGAATCATGGCGTCGTTTCGGAAATACAATCTCTGCACTACATTCTTGAAATGCTAATAAATAAAAATTAAGCTTTTTTATACAATTTGTTGCGTAAATAAGTATGAAAAATTAAAAAAATATATATTTTTAATGAGAAGCTTCACATTTTTTGCTTGCGAGTTTGCGTAAGTGCAAGTTTACAGTAAATTTGCTTTTATGTTTATTAAAACGTTGGTCCAATGTATGTGTGCTAGCTGTGGTGATTAATTAAACAGTACATTTATGTAAAGTAACAATAAACCGTTAGAGTTCCGACATTAGAAAGGAGCTCCGTGGTTCTAAGCCCCGGTCATACACATGCATAGTTGGTAAGGAAAGAGGCTTAAACCTGAAGGCAAGACTATAGCCTAGGTTAAATGCTGTTCCGCGGTGCTCTGTGATAAGACCGTTAGGAATTCATAAAGCACCTGAATAACTAATAATAAAAGATAATAATAGTATATATAACATTTCAAACCTACCGCTTTACTCACAAAGATCCTCAAAAAATTACATTCAACTTGATTCTAACTAATAAACTAGATCGATCATTCAGCATAAAAGTAGCCGGTCCTCTTGGCTGAATTCCCAGAGGACAGGCATACTGTTTCATTGAGAGAAATATAGTTTATCTTAACTAATAAACTTGTGAACAGAAATCAATTGTAGCTCTAACCCCTAAATCAAAAATTTGATATGGAGCAAAGCCAACTACGACTCAATCTCTACGCACATTGCAAAGTTCAACTGGAATATGGTTCTTGACGGGTTAACAATTTCGTACAAATGTCAATTGTTCATCTAAAAATGTGACAAAGTTTTACGCAAACAACTCAAAAATGCAAGTAAAATAGTAAAAAGCTTCTCAAAACTGCAGTTTTCGTTTATGGAGAAAGAACTGGTAAAAAATAGCAGGCAAGACTCAAAAGTTATCCATTTATACGTGTAGAGCAAGAAAAAAAAACATAACGGCATTTGTTGAAGCAAAAAAAAATTGCAATATGAAACAACAAAAAATCAAACAACAACTAACCCAAAGTGACTGCAACACACTAAATGATTATTTTCAATCAGTCTTCGAAACTGAGCCGATAAGACCTCTTTCGATATTCAACTCTCGCTAAAAGTCATACAAGTTCCAATATTCAACCCTCGATACAAGTCATACAAGCCTGTCAAAGAAAAGCTTTCGTATCTAATCAAAACCAAATTAATGGAATTTGATAGCGTTCACCCATGCGTTCTTAGCATCATTTTTTCTGAGACGCTTGGAGCCGGTGAAGTACCATCTCAATAGAAGAAAGCTGAAATCACTACCATCTTTAAAAGGCTGCGAGTCAAGCCTTTTAAACTACCGACCTGTCTCACTCCTTTCTGTGTCTTGCAAATCAATGTAAAATTTTATACAAGAACACATCATAGATTACCTGCATTTATAATTTTCCTCATTAATCTATTCGAAACTTGCGACATACTGACCAACAGCATTTTTACGGACTTGGAAAAGCATTCGACAAAGTTCCGCCTTATCATCTGCACAAGCTGAAATCATACATGGTGACTAACACCTTGCACAAATGGATTGATAGCTGGCTAACCAACTGTCTACAACGTGTAACTCTTGGTAATAAAAAATCTGAATGGAAAACAATATCCAGTGGTGTGCTACAAAGATCTGTTCTCAGACCTTTTTCTCATCTACATAAATGATCTACCAGACAAAATACTGCACTATTTCAAAACGTATGCAGACGACTGTAAAATATTTGGGGTTATCAAATCAAACGAAGACATCATAAAACTCCGAGACGACATCAGAGAAGCAGTGTAGTGGTCATACACATCATGTCTTTTTTATGTAGATAAGTGCCAAGTCATGCACACCGGTTGCAACAACAATGAGTCAATTTACACAATACAATCTATAAATAACGTCTGAAAGCGATATAAACAAGTATTCACAACCTCATCGCTGGAAACCACATGCTTGGCATTCTTAAGAGTGCCTTTCAAGACCTTGTTCTATGGCGCACATTGTATATTTCATACGTTCGCCCACACTTGAAATTTGCAGTACAAACCATATCACCATGTCTAACTCAAGATAAACCCAAATTCAAACAAGTTTAACATGGAGCCACTAATCTTCACACTAAACCTGACAACGCTAACTGAATACCGAGCACGAGTAGATCTCATTAAATAATGCAAAGTTAACAGCAAAACAGGGAGGAAGAAGAGATGGGGGGGGGGGTGAAGGAGGGGGGAAGGGAGACGTTTCCCCCTCCACAACTTATTTATAAAAGACTTTTTTTTAATTAGAAAGTTCTATATAGAGAACTTTTTCTAGAAATTGACAATTGTACCCCCTTTCCCTTCAAAATCCGTATCGTTGGCCCTACAAAATCGACGTAATTATCTTCGCAGTCTCTCAGCATCAACTAAACTCAACGTCATCAAAGTAATGTTTTCTTGCAGATGCACTGAATAATTCGAAGCACAAATTGTCCGAAACTGCGCGGAAGGAAATAAATTCTTCACCAACCGTGTGGTCAAACTATGGAACAATTTAACCTAAAACGCGGTAAATTCAATAAATATAAATAACTTTAAACATAAAATAGAAGCTAGACTGTATTTTCATCACAGAACGGCAAAAACAAAAAAAAAGAGAATAGTTCAGCACTTCTGTTTATTTATTGAAAATTAAAAAAAATTATTGAAAGCTAAAAAAACATTTTTTAACGTATTTTACTCTGAGCAAACTTTAAAACTAAAACTCTTGTAAAAAAAATGTTTTTTTTTCGAACTTTGAAAAGTAAAGCTAAAATTATGCTAAACTAAATAAAAAGTATATAAAAAAAAACTTTTTAAAAACAACATTATTAAAATGGACTAAAAAGTAAAAAATAAACTATATCACGTGACCCAAGAGTACATAACCTGAAATATCATTAAAGTCGATGACTGAAATTGTTGGCCAACTATGTACAACTCGTTTCTATTGGTGCCCAACATTTTCAGTCATTGATTTTAACGATATTTCAGGTTGTGAACGTACACAAAGTCCTTGGGTAAAATGAAATAGTTTATTTTTTACTTTTTAGTCCATTTTTAAAATTTTGTTAAAACATTTTAAAAATTTATAAAAATGGCTAAATTTTAAAAATGACTGAAAATGTTGGGCGATAATAGGATCGAGTTGTACATAGTTTTTAAAAACAATGTTTTTAAAAAGTTTTTTTAAATATTTTTTTAATATTCTACAGCGATTCTATTTATTTAAGCTTAACTATAACACTAAAAGTTTGTAGTTTATTGTTTGTTTTAATTACTTTTTTTAACGATTTTTTTAATTATTACCGCTGACCTTGTGTTTGTTTTACGCTGACATATATATATATATATATATATATATATATATATATATATATATATATATATATATATATATATATATATATATATATATATATATATATATATATATATATATATATATATATATATATATATATATATATATATATATATACTCATATAGTGTCGCTTTAAGAGCATTTTAATGTAAAAAAAGTCTCTTACGACTACAATTTTAATTACCTCGTCTCTTAAACTGTTTTTGATTGTCATCGAAATGTCAAAGCAATTAATTTATGCGGAAGTACATTAAATTTAATTGTTTTTTAAAAAATTTTTAAAAAACCGCAATTATAACGACTAGAAAGTTTTTTTTAATTAGTGGTGTTTTTGTTATTGATTTAATAAAAAACATTTTTTAAACATGCGTAAATGTTGCTACATCGACTATCTTATAGCCTGACTCGCAACAGAGTGCTGCTACATCGACTGACAAATAGCCTGACTCGCAACGGAGTGCTGCTACATCGACTGACAAATAGCCTGACTCGCAACGGAGTGCTGCTACATCGACTGACAAATAGCCTGACTCGCAAGGGAGTGCTGCTACAACGACTGACAAATAGCCTGACTCGCAAGAGACTGCTGCTACATCGACTGAGGGTTTGGTTTGGCCAGGCAGTCTATCAATTAAAAAAAAAAATTTAATTTTTAAAACTTTTTCTGGTCTGGTTTATTAACGCGCTCTTTAAAACTACAGTTTATGGGAAATATTTTTTGATGCTACGCAAGAGACATGCAAGACTATATATATATATATATATATATATATATATATATATATATATATATATATATATATATATATATATATATATATATATATATATATTTTTTTTTTCTTTTTTTTTTTTTTTTTTTTTTTTTTTTTACCCCGTCAATTGCAGCACTTAAAGAGGTTTAGATCTCTTTTGAGTATTATAAATAACAAAGATTAACGTGAGAATTAAGTTTTAGTGCATAAGTATGATTTACTATAATAAAATAAATAGTCTCAAAACTCAAACAAAAGTTTTCAATAAAATACTAACGCAATAATGTAACAATTTATCATAAAAATTTCATACAAACATTGTTGGAAAAATATCTAAAAGACGTTGATTTAAAGAGTCTTATCACTTCTTTCATTTCTTAAATACGTAGTTTTTTTTTCTATAATAGAAGGTTAGGGGTCATCCACAAAAGACGTCACGCTAAGTTTAACTAATGGCAAAAACTAGGAGAATGTTGGCTCTCGTGCGCAGAGATAATAGCGTGAAAACTTTCCGCGGAAAGGAGTCTCTTCTGGTTAGTATTTGAACTCTACTTCTGATTCGTATTTAAATTCTGAATGACGTCATTATTAAAGCGCTCATGACCTGCCTGTTACCTGGTTTTTACTAGTTAATACATTTTCATTATTTCGCATAAAGGGCTAAATGAGTGCAAAAAAGAAAAAAAAGGTTTTACAATCTGTAATCATCATTAAAAAAAAAGAAAAATTTTGAAACTTTATCTAAGTGGCATACACAAAAGACGTATTTATTAAAAAAAAAATTAAAAAAATATATTTTAAATGCACTTTTTTAAAGACCTATATATTTTAAACATTTTACATTTGTCAAATTATTACCATATTATTACATTTATTTTTTCATTGCCAAAAGAAATAGACAAACCTAAAATTGTAGAACCCCTGAAAAAAGTTTGGAATTTTTAACAAAATTCAGCTTTAACACCATAAAAACAAAGTAGTACTAATTTTTCAAACAAAAGTTTGAAAGACTTGAGCTAGGTTATGGTTTTTATTAGGGTTAAAGGTCAGTCTACCCTAAAAAAACACGTGGATAAGATAGACCAGGACTCTTTTACTATCATTAATATTACCATCAAAAAATGTTTCATAATGCCTTTTTTCATTTTCGTCAAATGTCCCGTTTTGATTCATTTTGCCTCACTGTGCGTCGTGTAAGCAAGTACTAACCACGCTAAGTTGGAAAAACTGAACAGCTAACAAAAAAATGCTTTTAGAAGTCGACGATGTCGAGAGATGTGCCTTTTAAATCACTTTTACATACTTTTGGTGTTTTAACATCCATCTTGTGATATAACTCGATGTAGTTAAGGCACTTTTAATATATTATAGCGTCAGTATGATATTTTAGTGAATTATGAAAAGACAAAAAATATTAAAATGATAAATATAAATGTTTGTAGCGAAAAAACCCAGACCGAAGATTTAATAAGATTAATAAAATTTTAATAAGATTTTAAATTAATACGTTTTTTAGGTGAAATGAACATTATAGCTTAACAATACGATCTTTTCTGATCGTTTATAGGCTATTTTCCATAATTATAAACTCTTTCTTGACCGAAATTCTAGCATTTTTTGTGAAAATTGATAGAAATATTGTATTTTGATAATTATATATAGTTAATATACGTTAGAACCGATTAGAACTAGGGTCAGTAGTAAATTAAGGAACTTTTTCAAAAGATTTTAAGTAAATTCATGTTAACGCCGATGAGCGAAGTTGATCTAAAGACTCCGAATAGTGTTCTTTAGATTCACTATTACGGGTAGTAAAAAAGTTTTGAAAATTATATAAAAAAAGTTATTTTAAATATTAAAAAAACCTGAAGCAAACAAAATTATACTATCTAAAGTTTTTGTTTGGAAATAATAAGCTGATGAAATCATGCTAATTCCAAATAAAAGTATTCGAATAATTTGTAAATCGCCTTAACTACACCGAGAGTTCATTTAAAAAATAAAATATAGACTTTCCTCAAAAATTTGTAAAACAAATTTTGGAGAAATATACCATAAGTCGATTTGTTTTATTAAAATCTCATTCAAATTGAGTTTTTATTTTTTTTATAATCACCATTTTTTAAGAAAATTTTATTGTTGAAAAACTAATCCAAATTTAATTCCGAAAAGAAATTTTGTTTTAAACTATTAAAAGCTGAATTAAAACGGTAATTAATTGCACGCAGCTTTTGATTTGTTAAGTTATAAAAGCGTCTTTTAAAATAAGTAAATCAGATTTTGTTAGTTAAAAATTAAAAAACATTAATGAAAAAACAACATTTTTCAGGGTGCCTATCTATATAATAAAAATGTTTAAGCATAAGTTATTAATGGCGTAATTAAATTTCAATCCCAAATAAAAACTTCATTTTTTTTCAATAAAAGGTTATAATAAAAAAGGTTTTCAATAAAAGGTTAACCCTGACATTATATGTGATGCGTAATAAAAATTACAAATCCCTTTCAATCTATTGTTGCACCTTACTATATTTAAATAATTTAAGTCTTTCTAAGATTTTTATTGATATCATTCTAGGCATGCAATCAACGTATTTAAATATATAAGTTAAAACTTAAACTGTTTACTGTTCTTAGAGTATGTACATTTGTACTGTGTAAATTGTTACTTTTTCTTTTACTGATCTTAACAAAAGAAATAATGCTGCAGTTTTTTTTATTTATTTTATTATTTTTTATAATTTTTTTAAATATAAATTTGATGTTAATAAAAAGATTTGTTTTATTTAAATATAAATTGCATAAAATTCAGTGGCGCAAAATTCAGAGTCGCTAAGTTCAGTGGTCCAAAACATGTTATTATTTTGAAGTCACAGTTTTTTCAATATATTTGACTTAGTATTATTTTATCTTTTAACTTTACAAAAATTTAAAATTGTTAAAAATAAAAATCATTTTTTTAATAATCGCAACCAGTCATACAGAGAGATAAATTACTTAAATGTGGAACAAAATGTAACAAATAAAAAATTTTTATATTAATTTTTATATTATTTTTATATTAAAAAATTTTTATATTATATTTTTATATTAGTTTTTTTTTTTAAATAATTAAGGTTCAACCTGTTTACCCATATTGCGAGAAAGAGTTAATACAAGTTCAAATCCAAATTTGAACTTGTATAAACTTTTTTTTTTTAATTCCTAATTGCATTTCACTATTTTAAAAATGAAATATCAAAAAACATATCCAAAGATTTTACCTTTTAGAAAGAGCTGGATTAAAAACCAAACCAGAGTACATACTTCTACACGCATTCTTGTTGTAACACAAAGTTCAAAATAAAAAATATTTATAGTAAAGTTAATTGGATTATATATGCCCATAATAGTACGCGGAGTCAGCGGAGGGTATTTAAATTTAATATTATTACTATAGTTTATAACTCACATATTGTGATACAATGGTTGCTAAGCGTTCATTTCCAAAGCCTTTTAAGTAGCAATTGCATCTTACATTAATCGCATCTTAAATAAAAATCCTTTTTTCTATTCTTTTTTTTTTAATTTTAAGATATCTGATGATTAAGAACCTTCCATTTAGAATTACTACCAATTCAATTCTATTACTAACATGGTTAAGAACCTACATATTTGGAAACAATGGTTGCTAATCGTTCATTTCTAAACCATTTTGAATAGCAATAACATGTCAAATTATTACCAATCCCTTTTTTTTTCTTCATTAAAAACTAGTTTAACTCTACTATTAACATGGTTAAGAATCATTTTTGTTAAACAACAATGCTGTGGAAATTTTTGCTAGAAGTTTAAAATATAATTGAGTTTTAAAATAGAAGTTAAAAACACAAAATTCTCATTAAAAAGCTTGGGAGGAAAGTATATATATTATTACTATAAAGTATTATAGGAACGGCAGCTGCATAAAACGTTATTTTGTTTTTGAATTGCAATTTGATCTAACTCAATCTTGAGTTAAATCAAATTGTAATTTAATAATCAAAAATATTTATAAAAAACGTGAAACGTTACAAAATAATTAATTTCGAAAACCATTTTTTTTAACCGTTACATAGGGTAAACGTGTACTTTGTGAAGTAAACTTAATATAAATTTTACCTTTATTTGTTATAAAATGTCCTAAAGTAAACATAAAAAAGCAGTTAAAAAACTAAATAGCTGCTTTTGCAAAACTTATTCGCAATAAGAGACAAGAGTCGAAACTTTAACCAAGAAATGAAACAAAAAAAGATGATATATATGATCTTATTGCTGTATTAAACTTTGAACTCATGCAATTTTTGTAACTTTAAAACATTTCTGTTCAAGAAAGATTTTACATGAGACTGCAAATTTTTATTTTTTGAACTCATTAAAAAAGGTTTTTGAACTCATAATATTGAAAATGTTTTTGAACTCATAATATTGAAAATGTTTTTGAACTCATAATATTGAAAAAGGTTTTTGAACTCATAATATTGAAAATGTTTTTGAACTCATAATATTGAAAAAGGTTTTTGAACTCATAATATTGAAAAAGGTTTTTGAACTCATAATATTGAAAAAGGTTTTTGAACTCATAATATTCAAAAATGTTTTTGAACTCATAATATTGAAAAATGTTTTTGAACTCATAATATTGAAAAAGGTTTTTGAACTCATAATATTAAAAAAGGTTTTTGAACTCATAATATTAAAAAAGGTTTTTGAACTCATAATATTAAAAAAGGTTTTTGAACTCATAATATTAAAAAAGGTTTTTGAACTCATAATATTAAAAAAGGTTTTTGAACTCATAATATTAAAAAAGGTTTTTGAACTCATAATATTAAAAAAGGTTTTTGAACTCATAATATTGAAAAAGGTTTTTGAACTCATAATATTGAAAAAGGTTTTTGAACTCATAATATTCAAAAAGGTTTTTGAACTCATAATATTGAAAAAGATTTTTGAACTCATAATATTGAAAAAGGTTTTTGAACTCATAATATTGAAAAAGGTTTTTGAACTCATAATATTGAAAAAGGTTTTTGAACTCATAATATTAAAAAAGGTTTTTGAACTCATAATATTGAAAAAGGTTTTTGAACTCATAATATTGAAAAAGGTTTTTGAACTCATAATATTAAAAAAGGTTTTTGAACTCATAATATTGAAAAAGGTTTTTGAACTCATAATATTGAAAAATGTTTTTGAACTCATAATATTAAAAAAGGTTTTTGAACTCATAATATTGAAAAAGGTTTTTGAACTCATAATATTGAAAAATGTTTTTGAACTCATAATATTAAAAAAGGTTTTTGAACTCATAATATTGAAAAAGGTTTTTGAACTCATAATATTGAAAAATGTTTTTGAACTCATAATATTAAAAAAGGTTTTTGAACTCATAATATTAAAAAAGGTTTTTGAACTCATAATATTGAAAAAGGTTTTTGAACTCATAATATTGAAAATGTTTTTGAACTCATAATATTGAAAAAGGTTTTTGAACTCATAATATTGAAAAAGGTTTTTGAACTCATAATATTGAAAAAGGTTTTTGAATTTATAATATTGAAAAAGGTTTTTGAACTCATAATATTGAAAAAGGTTTTTGAACTCATAATATTGAAAAAGGTTTTTGAATTCATAATATTGAAAAAGGTTTTTGAACTCATAATATTGAAAAAGGTTTTTGAACTCATAATATTGAAAAAGGTTTTTGAACTCATAATATTGAAAAAGGTTTTTTGAACTCATAATATCGAAAAAGGTTTTTTGAACTCATAATATTGAAAAAGGTTTAGTAAAGTTCTACATATGCCATAAAGCACATAATAAAAGTTCTTCATTGCATGAAGAACAAATCGCTATAAACTTATTTTGTTTAGTGGTTAATGCGGTGGACAAAATAAAAATCATACATTAATAATATTTTAAAAACATTTATTGGACATCTTTAATACACCACGCATTATTTATTTATTTTTTTCAATTTTGATTATTAAGGTGCTCTAAGAGGTCCTTACCGTCTGGTCAAAGAGCATCGCAAATCAGCATTTAATTAGAAAGTTCACGACGTTAAATCTTGAACCTTTTGTTTCTGATGTAAAAGCCTTAACCACTGCAACTTCCCAATCAAGGCTCATTCAGTTTTACCCTGCAATATTAGGGGTAGAAAATAGCATATAATAAACATAAATAAATAACAAATGTAAAAATGGCGGTTTAAAATTTTGAATATCATTTCTTGTAAATGATATTCAAAATGACATTCTTGCAAACATTTTTTCAAACAATCAGTATTTTATGCAATGTTAACACCGGCTTTAATTGAATATAATTAAAAAAAAAATCAATATATTGTTAAAAATATCTCAGCAAACATTGTTTAGTGGTTTTGCAGTGGTTTTTGAGTGGTCCACTGGAATTTTTACTCATAGGTTACTTAGTGGACCTTTAATAGCAGCCGCTATAAATTGCAGTTCGATAACTTTCCGACATGTTTATAGTGGCTAATCACCTTTGCGGCTGCCTCTAATGGTCAACTAAGTAACCGATGAGCAAAACTCCAGTAGACCGCTTGAAATGTCTATATAGTACCACTAAAAATCCCCTATAGGATGTTTGCTTAGTATGTACATTAATAAATAAATCAATACATCGTAAATAAATCAATAATATTTATAATATTAAATCAATAAATAAATAAATATATTGTAAAAATTGTGTCGTTAAATATTTACTTGTAGTTAGATGTATGCGTTAAATTATTTGAAAATTTGCGTTGTGCATTTTAGGTTTTTACTTTACATGTAATATTTGCGCACTTGCATTACTCTTATATGTATACCGACATATATGATACCAGCGGATGTACCAGCGGCGGTAGAGAGATTTAAATGTGAGGGGCTAATTTAAGATTTGAAATGTGGCTGACAGTCGCTCTTTTCATTTCCAAGAAAAGAAAAGACATCTAATTTAACAGCAAATTGATCAAAGTTTTTGACTAATAAAGAATAACCTTTGTTTAAAACATTCTTTATGAAAAATTGATTTTTCGTGTTTCTCAAGGTCCGTACAAATTTTTCCTCTAAATATGACTAAAAAAAAGCTCCTTAAATTTGCCATAGAACTTTTTTTTTTTTTTAATTGTTATTTAGGTGCCCCAAGAAGACCTAAAGGTATTGTCACAGAGCACTGAGGAAGTGCATTTAACCAGGAAGTTCACGCCTCCTTCTTAACCGTGACGCAAAAATATGTCCAAGGCTCGTTTCAAACCTGGATCTACTGCTTATAAAGCAGTAGATCCAGTAGATAAAATAATATCTAATATCTATATATAAATAATCTGTCTTTAAAGTGGAAAGGCCAGACGCTAGGTTATTAAAAAGTAATGAGAGTGAGTTGGGGCGGCATAGCCTTCTTAGCCACTCATCTGATTTGCTTCTGTAAAAATTTGGGAAATTAGTTTAGGTTAAAACCCTAAAACCCTAATGAGAACACTACTTTTTCTAAACTCTTTAATATTGTATTACCTCCTGACTGCTAGTAAAATATCTATATAAAACAACTTTTTTTATAAATAGTTTACACCACGTCATAGTCATTATTTCAATATAAGTGCTTATCTCCTCCTGGCGGCCTGAAGACGTACATCTATAAAGTCATTATTTCAATATAAATGCTAATTGCTCTATCAACCTATGAGTTGAAGACGTGGTTTAAAACGCAAATATTGCTTATTATATTTGAGGCCATGAGAACAAAAGTTGTATTAAATCAGAGGAGAAAATAGTAAAAATAAAATTCCGTAGTTTTTAAATTGAAAAACCTCCTTCGATTTTTGAGTTCATAGCAGCTTTTCAGTTTTAACCATCTATTGAGACATTTCTTAGTTAGGTTACGCAAAAAAAACACATTTTGTAAATTTGTGGGTCACTCTACTTTTATTCTCATGGCCTCAATTACATTTTGAAGATAAAACGTTGTTAAAAAAACTAAATAACTAAGTTTCTAGTAAAGAAATGCAAGCGCGTGTAATGGTTTCATATCTTTTCAATCTTAGTGATTAATCAATTAAAACAATTATTTAATTTTTAAAAAAATAATGTTAACAAACTTTTCTAGAATTACAAAAAAGTATTCAGTTGCTTAGAATGTAACAAAATAACTTTAAATATAGATAAAACATTCTCATTCACTGGCAACAGGGCCGACGATGCCGTTTTTTGACGTTAGAAATAATTAACTTCCAGACATTGTGAAAACTCCAAACATTTATATGTTTATACTTAAGTCAAATAAGGATGCTTTGCAAAATATTGCGATGATTGGAGCCTGAAAACAAAAAAGCCTTAAAATTTGTGCCCCACCCCAGCCCCAAACG